TACGAATTGACGAAGGAAGGGGAAAGTTTGACGAGACAACAAGAAAGGTTCACCATAGCTAGTTTTCAACCTTTATCTAACCCTTTTAATGGATTATTCTCTTCCGTATCCTAACAATAGATAATAATAATTAAAAAAATAGCTGTATGCTTAGAAAAACATACTTATCCAAAAACCCTTGTCTACATAATTAAGGGTCTTCAATATTGCTACCTGGAGTTAAAGAATACTTTAAAGAAAATGTTGAACAGGTATTACTATCACTAGGTTCTAAGAGCCAGAATTCGGATGTTCAAAAGATCTCCATATTTGATGGATGCTGATGAACAGGTATTTTGATTTATTATAATCTAAGCAAACGTTATATGGCAGAATAATATTATATATGTGGACCTTTCAACTCGCTATTTTTTCATATTCTTTCGTTCAGGTAGAGAATCCAAGTGTACATTTTTTTCCATCGTTATTATTCAAATAATCATATTTTATGCATCGTTAAGAAAAAGAGAGGCTAAGACGCCTGTTTGGGACCTCTTTGGGATGTCTCATAGAGCGATGCAATAGTTCGTAATCAGGAAAAAGGCAATTCTGTTTAAAAATTAGCATTAATTTTAAGTGAAAAGTAAGACAGTGGTCAAAGGTAGGTCACAAAAATTGTCATTTAAAAAAAAAAAAAAACAAGCTAATTCAGAGAATTTGTGTCCCCCGCTTAGGGAAAAAAGAAGAGCATGCGCAGTTCGGGGGGGGGGGGGTGTCACACTGCCAACCTGTATTTGTAGAATTATTAAATGTATACATGTATATTGAAGCAAATTTAAATTTTAAAAAAGCCAATATGGATATAAAGATTTGTTTGCTTATTCTTTAATATGTGTACATAGAAGATTCTTTTTAATATATACAGAATATTTATCACACTGTAATAATGATTTTATGAGTTTGTACATGCCAGACATCATAACTTTTTCATTTCACATGTTGAATAGTATCATTTAGTAAATGCAAAAAAAGAAAAAAAACCATTTTAAAAAAAAAAAGAGAGAATCGTCTGGGGATTGAACCCGGGCCTCTCTCTTGCTAAGCGAGCATCATACCACTTGACCACAGAGACACTTGAATATACAACAAATTAAATGCAAACATTAAGTCACATATAATGTTTATTTTTCACGTTCGATATTGTCAAAATTTTAATCAATACATGGTGTCTAATTTAGCCTTTACTAAACAGTTCTAATATATGTAATTAGAATATAAACAGATAAAGTCCGCCGACAACCTGTATTATACGTAATAACACTCCACATGCCCCTGTGCTAAACGACTTTTAATACATAAATAAATAAAATAAAATAACGGGGAGCGTAGTTAGAATAATCTGTGTCTCGGGATGACCCTCATCACAGTTAGAATGCCCCCCATATACCCGTAATGTAGCAGAAAATTGCTGAATCGCTCCGAAACGATTTTGGAGAAAATTAATGAAGTTGCATTGAAAATAACAGTCAAATTAATCATAACAAACCTTTTTGAGACTGTAAATACCTTTCATCTAAAAATTTAATCCATATTATGGAAGAATTCAACACTTTTTCACCAACGTTTTTTACTCGCTTCAAATTTACACACCATGTTGACATTCGGGATTTTTCATAGTAAATGAACTGAGTTAGAGTTATCTCCCGTATTTTCTTCTGCTACATTGACAATACACGAAACGCATTCTATTGTTAAACCGGGTCCGTAGGATATTTATCATTTTCTGTCTAGGGGTGGGACACTTCGAGAGGGGTGAGAGAGGCTATAGGGAGTTATGGTATAAAATTTCATTGCAAAAAGTTTCTTGAGATATGGCCCGGAAACAAAAGTGTCACACACAGACGGAATTTATGAATTTATGACCCTGACCTTTTGACCTCAAAATCTATAGAGGTCTTCCTTAGGCCACAGGGTGTTGTCATGTAAAATTTCATTAGAAAAGCTCAAAGAATTCGCGAGATATCGCGCGGAAACGAAAGTGTTAAAACAGACAGAATTTATGAAGTTATGACCTTGACCTTCGACCTTTTGACCTCAAAATCAATACAGATCTTTTTAGGCGATAGGGAGTTGCTATGCAAAATTTCATTGCGAAAGCTCAAAGGATTCTCGAGATATCGCGCGGAAACGAAAGTGTTACAGACAGACAGAAATACAGACGGACGGACGGACAGACAGACCCAAATTAATATCCCCCACTTTCAGTGAAAGCGGGGGACAAAAATTAAATTTAAGTTGTTTTAGAAAATGAAGAGTGCAGCTTGCCTATCTATCATATTTATCATATTTCTACCGTATATATATTTCGTGCGCTTGTTTCGGGCATATTATGTGTAAATACTTGCGCCATGTGTTTCTCGAAGTAAAAAGTATCTCAAATGTGGCGAAATTTCCTCAGAATTGAGGATATTCTGATAAATATTCTAAATAACCATCCTCTTGTGGCCTTCTTGTATACACTTTGAATGAAAATTAATGTTGACTATAAGATAAGCATCATTTAAAGTTTTTAATTAGATATAACAACGTTTAACCGGCTAATCGGTCGGAAAGCCAATTATATAACCGGTTAGTCGAAGTATATGTACTTTTTGAAAACATTATATATATTTTCTTAAATAAAATCTTAAAATTGAGACTCTAAGGTAGCTTGTGTAATTCTTGAAATGCTGCAATCGACCGTCAAACAAGTCGCAGTAATTTAGTCTTGAAAATCCTAAATATTTATCAAAGTTTCTGTACCACCCTTAAAAAATTCTATTTTTGCTCAATGGATTGAACTTTACAAGTTTTAAAGTTTATTTTTGCTTTAAAAATAACAGATATTTTTACTGTTTTATAAATCACTGCGAAACCTTGCTATTCATTCAGCAAAATGCCACCACAATCGAAAGCTGGGCGATGTTTTTTTTAGATAAAATATTAATCAAATCATCATCTCTTATTTTTAATTGGAAACTCTCACAATTCTAATACGGGTCTTGTAGAGTAGACTTTTTTTCTTCAATATCCCCCCGGAAACTGACTCTAGAATAGAAACCCCACCCCCATCCCGGAAAATAAGCTATAGAGCAGGATTTACCCCATGGAAAAATGACTCCAGATTCCCCTGCGGAAATCCCACACAAGATTCAATTTTCCGGAGGGGATTTCTTCTTTGTGTAATAGTTTTAGAGCGCAATTTCCTCCCTAATTGTTAGGCCATTATTTACACATTAAATTGTCTATTGGTTTTTCCGCTTTCCCGATCATGACAAAAAGCACACGGCGTGTGTTACCAGTTGGCAGGGGATGCTCACTCCTCCATGGCACCTGATCCCTCCTCTGTTTTAGAGGTCCGTGTTAGCTCTGCTTTTGATTTGTATTGTTTGAATGAACTTTTGAGCTTGAATACTGTTCAGTATCTCCATACTTCATCATATAAACTTTTAGCGAAATTGTTAGCATTGATAAAATAGGGGAAATCCTACTCTGGAAAAGTAAGAGGGAAAAAATTTGGCTGTAGTGTGAGATTTTCCCTTGGGGGAAGTCCTACTCTAGAGTACAGATTCCGGGGAAGGAGGCTGGCTAGGGGGAAATCCTATTCTACAACGCCAGTAGTTTATTTATTTTAATATCAAACGAGGTGAAAAAATCGACTGTTGCCTTGTCCTTTACTGTGATAAATTCTCTTGAAACAATCCATCATCTATGTCAGTTGTCTGAATGTTACAAATATTTTAAGGTATATTTTATATTTGATTAAGACAAATAAAATAGAGGAAAAATAGTAGAATGAAAACGTTATCTTTACACTTCATTCTGCACAAAAAACAAGTTGTTAGTCACGTTCAAAGATTGTTTTGATTGTTATTAACTACTGCACAATTAATTGCTTAAATTTGCATGAAGAAAAAAGGAAAAAGTCCAGCGGCTGCCACACTGCGTAACGAACCAATCCATAATAACAAACATTTCCATGACATTTACATATAATTGCCTTGGAAATGTAAAAAAGAAAGTTATGGAATGCACTAGTGGTCCAAAACTTGTTAAATTTTTCACCTATACTTGATACATTTCACAATAAAAATTATCTGCTTATCGTAATTCAGTAAAGGAACATATGATACACATACCACCTTCCCCTTGCAAGGAATTAATATTCGTTCTTGAAGTGATATAATTTTACTTGCTATAGTCAACACCCTCCCCGAATCAAAATTCTGAAAATCCCCCCCCCCGAAAAAAAAAAAAACAACAGAAAAAGCCCACGCTTCTTCGGCCAAGTGAACATCACGAGTTTTGTAGACTATGACCACGTTCACCCCATCTAGAACTCTGGATCCTTTTCAAGAACTGATGGAAAATTCTACTCATTTATCACATTGCATGAAGTTGGTCTCTGAATTCAAACATTTTTGAATATTTAAAATTTTGCAATGGTGTACTGCATTTTCACTGTATGACCCCAGGGCCTAAACTCTGGCTTCAGAGGACATGTAATTTACTTTTTTTTATAAATGGCAAACTGCTTCTTGCTTCTTATTATAATCATCTTAACACCCTGTCTACTATAGGTGTTCAGGAGCAAAACTACATGCCATTTGATGGTTTGGCCTACTCCCCAGGCTCCTTGGAGGTAAAGGGGCTGAGACAGTAAAATTCACAGTTTCCCTCCTTTACGTACAGTGTTTAGATGCAAAACACTAAGAATGGTTGGAATGAAGTCAGAAACGTTCAATCTATAGAAGACGCAAAAGTAACTTGTAACTATTTACATCATCGTCAATGTTGATTTGTTCCTATTTTTCTAATTTGAATCGTCTTTCGTTACAAGTAGTTCTGGAATTTCGTTACTAGTTATTTTAGTTGGAATTTGATAAGAATTTACATGGGTTAGGCTTACCATAAATTCGAGAAATAATTATTATGAGGCCCTAACTTCTGTTTCCGTATATATTTGTTGACTTTTGAATTTATAATACACTTTGAACGCAACTAAACTAAAAGTTTGATAAAATGAACCTTTCCACTATTTCAGTTTTATTTCTTTTGGAACTTTCTGCAGGTAAGAGTTTTTGTTTGTTTTGTTTGTGTTTTGCTTTTGTTTGTTTTTTTTGGTAAATTGTAATTTTTTGTTTAGTTTTAGCTCTCTAATGCATTACAAATAACGCTCTGTTATCTTTATTGTGGTGTATTAGATTCCTTAATTGTATTTTGTTAAATTCAATGCAAGTTTGATTATAAATATTTTCAAACTAGATACATTTTATTTTATTTTTTTTTTTTGTACCATTTATTAAATGAAAATATTTTAAGCCATGGACTTTTTTGGCATATAAAGGGTAAGGGAAACAACGAATGATTTAAAGATGCCTGCTAATTTCTAAATATAAAATTCTTCCAAGATCAAGCAGTGTGAGAGAATAACAGGGTAATTGTTTTAGTAACCACAACACTCAAAATATAAACAAGTATACATTGAAAAAAAAAAAAAAACGTCAAAAGACAGAAGTTGAAGAAATGTTAGGTTTTGTTTCTAAATATGTTAAAATTTACATATTGAATATAATTTCCGGTTTATAAACTTTTAATCGATGGCAGCATCGTTTCTGTCAACTCAAGTTCCAATAGGGTTGGAGTAGCTTAAAAGAAGCATTTTGAAGATAGTGTGCATTTACATCGAAAAATCCCTTTTTTGCTAGCGTAATTCATTTTGAAGGTCTTAACTGGGCTTAAATAAAATCAGAATTAAAAAAGGAGGAGCAGCGTTTATAAGTTTAACGAATATTGCGATGCAAAGCATTCTATATTCAGTAATCGTTCATTAAAATAAAAAAATTAAAAAAAACATACAAAATTGTGTATTTTGTTGTCCCCAGCTTTCGCGAAAGCGAGAAGACTTTAAATCTCATTCGTGTGTCATATATTTCACATGTACATTATTTGTGACAAGACCTTTCCAAATTATATTTTTTACCCCGTGACCTTGAAGTTTTACCTACTTTTCAATAACTTTACATTTTTTCAATAACTTTAACATTGTTGCTAACTTTTGAATGAGAGAAGATATGGCGTTAATATTTGAGATGTGGATTACCAGTGACAAGCCGTTTTCAATTATATATACACTGTATGAGTTTGAACCGTGATCTTGATGTTTGACCTACTTTTCTAATATTTTAAAATTGGTGATGACTTTTAAGTGAGAAAAGATGGGGCGTTCATGATTGACAGGTACATTACCTGTGACAAGTCCTTTCCGAACGTACTATGGTTTTTGAACAACGCTTAAAGGATCCATAGAAGATAAAAAAAAAAGAGAAAATAATCTGATATATCTGAAGCCCAAAAGAAAAATGATGAGAGGGATTAAAAAAGTAGTCTTGTACTCAGTAACACATCTCAGTAACACATCTTAGAGTAGATCTATTTAACTGTCCCCATTTGTTACTTTGTATTATGTAATATAATTCTTTTTGGTATAATTCTCTTATTCCATTCATCTTTTAATTATTTTATTTACAGTGATTAATTATCCTAAGTGAATAGAAAAGGGGAATAACTTCTCTCAGTAGAATACAAAATATAGCCCTGCCCAGCACCAAAATGCTTGATGAAGTGGTCCAGGGACCATTAAAATTCAAAATTTTTGTACCCCTTCATCCATGATGTTAGGGTTATATGCCAAAATTGGTTGAACTTAATTGGTTCAGAGGCTCATGAGAAGAGGCTTAAAATGTTCAAAAGTTGACGAATGACGACGGACGAAAGGAGTGACTCAGGTGACCTAAAATGTTTTAACTGAAACGCATTTCTGTTTGTCGAGTTTTAATTTTGATAATTTCTGAAAAAATAAATCAATACTTTTCTTATTGCTTTTATCCGACTTCTAGCTTCTCAACGGTCACAACACACATCTGTCCCCGTGAACCAGTTTGAGACTACCGTGTAAGACCTAAAAGAGATTTTTAATTGTCTAATAGGTTATAAAAATCACACACTTTGAAAGTTATTAAAAATTTGCCCTCTTTTAATGTTTTGGTGTCAATTTACATATTCATTTAATACTACAATCTGATCAAAATCAGATCCTTTGATCCGCTCACATAGATCGCTACACAAGGATCTGAAGAAACCCCATTCAGGTCATCTTCTGGTGACCTTTCAATTATCCAATCAAATGTTTGCTTTCAAGAATTTAGAAGTATCTCGGAATTCAGTTAGAGAAATGAAAGCCCTGACGATACACGAACAGAAAATTGTTTCCGTAGCCTGCCAAAAGAATGACCACAGTTTCGTCTGTATATATTATATATATATATATATATATATATATATATATATATATATATATATATATATATATATATATATATATTAGTATTTGCGTTTGCTTTTTTTTTTTTTAGCTCTTTGTTTTGTACGAAACAATAAGATCTTCTCCACAGCTACTTTCACTTCTACATTCATTTTCCTGAATGTCGTCTAAGTACGATCTCTCTGATTGGTCAAACTTTTAATGAATATTTTTATTAGAAAGGTCACCAGGAGATGACCCTAATTGGGGTTTCTTCAGATCCTTGTGTAGCGATCTATGTGAGCGGATCAAAGGATCGGATTTTAATCAGTCCGATTGTTTAATACTAGTAAATGGTTATGAATCAAGTCTTTAATTGCCTCATGATCCTTGAAGCTAGTTAAAATAATTAAGAAAAATGAACATGTATTTAGGATCCACAAATTCCTTGCTGTTTCTCGAGTTGTTATTATTGAAATATTATCCAGGGAAAACAAAGAAACTGTTATATATTCAAAGACTTCGAACAATTACAATGTTTCGAAATACTTCCATAATTCTAAATAAGATCAAATTTGTGTAGTCACAAAACAGAGAGGCGTAAATAGTTTCTCTATATGTCCGATAAAGCAGTTTTTTTAGTTTGTAATATTTCATTAACTCTGACAGTATGCCATGGATTAACAAATCCCTGTCGCCGAAAGTTCGAAGAAGGCCTGGAGAAGTGTTTTGATGACTCTGTTGGTACACAAGTGGATGTTATTCAGACTCTTATGGGCAGCAGTCAAAACCCTGGAAGCACAGAGACTATCTGCAGGTAAAATGAATTGTCAATTGATGCTGTTCAATCTCAAAATTATGCTCTTTTTCAGTTCATGTAATCCGACTGACCAACTTCTATAACTGCAGGCGCGTAGCCAGAGTAGAATTGATGTGTACGGAGAAAACGGCAGGGGGTTGGGGGTCTTGAGCCCCCCCCCCCCCCAAGTGTTTTAGGGCTCTGGTCAGACACGTAATATAGTTTTTGCCAGCCAGGAAAAAATTACAACTTAAAAAATTTTGTCAAGCAAGGACGAAAAAGGAAGATTGTCAAAATTCGAAGTCCTATTTCTTGTGTGTGTTTGTTGAAAGGGGGGGGGGGGGTGTCCATCTTTCATAAACCGAATTTTTATTAATACATTACCAAATTACCATGATTTAACAATGGTGCAACAAACAGTGGGGGTCCACCCTTTCAATGTACATTTTCAATAGTAAAAGGTTAGGTTTTGGGAATACCAAAAATTTCATTCATTTTCTTTAAATATAAAAAATATGCCATTTAGTTTTTGTTTAGGAAATAAAAGACAGAGTAATATTTATTGTTTAAACGAAAATTAATATTCCATGGAAACTTATTGTACATATAATTGAGACTAAAAATTTAACCGATATATTAATTGGTATCATATAATCATTCTTAATATATAAAAACACGTATACAAAATTTTAATTATGAACAAAAAAAATATCGTATTGTAAATCATACCTAGTAGATCATAGCATTCAACGATGTGGCTGAAATTTAATTTTTCAAAGATCTTAAAAAATATATATCAATGTATGATAGAACAATGACAAAATAATGAATGATTTATTTGGATTTGGCAGTTATTAAATAAAAGATTTCAAATTTTATCATACAGCCATGATAATTGAAAATTTAAATCGACACAGTATGACACAGAATAAATTGAAACACGAATATTTGTTGGATGGTACTGAAATTTTTTTCTCCGAATAATTCTCTCTTCTTTTTTTCCTTATCTTCCCCCCCCCCTTTTTTTTGAAAATGATGTGTACGCACTTGCGTATAGGCAGCTACGCGCCTGAACTGTCGAGTGAGTATTTTGACGAATTGGGGAAAACATCGACTTTCACCGATATTAGAATGAAGTAGGTTCCAGTAGTATATATGTGTCAGAGATGTGTCTTTCTAGAAGTTTTCTTGATTGATGCTATATGCATTGTGCGTTAGCCACATCAATCGTGAAAGATGATGAACGTTAGATTAAAAAGGTTTAACTTACCACCTAAATTTTATATCCTTCTAGTATTTTGAAATGATGATAAAGTTATTTTCAGATCGTTTATTGGTCGTGAAAACGTACCAGTTATTTTGATCAACATCAATAAGAGTTGATTTTAAATATAGTACAATTAAAGCAGATTATACATAAGGTAGTTAAAATAATCTAACTGTGTCTCGGGACAGGCCCTCACCACAGTTAGAATACGTCCCATATACTTGCAATGTAGCAAATCGGAGTGGATCCACTCCAAAATGATTTTGAAGAATACAAAAGGAGTTGCAATGAAAATAACTACCAAATTAATAATAACAAACCTTTTTGAGATTGTATATGCCTTTCAACCTACAAATTAATCCATATATATACGAAAATTCAACTCATTTTCTCAACGTTTTTTCCTCGCTTCAAATTTAACGCCATGTTGATATTCGGAACTCTCTGGATTCTTCATAGAAAATGCACAGAGTTGGAGTTATCGCCCGTGTTTATTTTGCTACATTGCGAATACACGGAACGAATTCTATCGTTAAACCGGGTCCGTAGGACAATATCATTTTAACGATAGAACGTTCTATCTATACATAAGGGTGTTTTATCACTATCAACAGGATGTAAGAAGTGGAGAAATGTTCGATGCTCAAATTTAATATGCCATTTTCGTCTTTCACAGCAGTCGCCCGCGAGGCGCAGTGGTTAGAGCGTTTGCTCTAGAATCGCGGAGTAAGGAGATGATCCTTACGTCGCGAGTTCAAATCCCACTGCGGGACGTGGACACCGGTCCTTATAAACCGAGGTCCCGGATCGCAATACGAAAGTAGCACGAAAAAGATCCCTCATTGCATAAAGGCCGCAAGTGCCGAGTACAGGTCTAAATTTGCAGCCCTCCACCGGTTAGTGGTGACGTCTCAACATGAGTGAAAAATTCTCGAAGGGACATCAAACAAAAATCTTTCACAGCAATAATCTTCAGTCACTTGAAGAAAAACTTTAAATTCCTTATGGGGTCAAGATTTCGAGACAGAGAAAATTATTGAAAGGCTCCATCTTGACATGATTGTTATTGAAAGAATTGTAAACGTAAGAAAGCTCATTTTAACAATGACAAAGGGAAAATGAATTTTGAATTTAATCATAAATGTGTAGTAGAGCAAAAGAACCCATTCCTCATGAATTTCCAATGAAAGTAAAATGAACAAAAAATAACATTTGGAATTAACAATGACCAGGTAGAACTGATATCTGTCAAATTCTATCTCAAAGGCAAGAAATATTTTCTAAGACTTTTTTCTGTTTGTTTTAAAAAGTGTTTTGTACATGAATGCGCATAAGCATCTCTATTTAATAACCTGCATATAAGCTTCGTAGGAAGTTTACGTGATCGAAAGGTTGCGGTTCAAGTCAAGACCTAAGTACATGTAGATAAAAAAATTAAAAAGGTAGCAAACGTTCCTTCGCCAAGCGTTCGGTACTTTGAAGTGATAGTTGTGGGTCTTTTGGAAGAGACCTTTAAACCTGAGGCCTCGTGTCACGGTAGGTGTCGGCACGTAAAGATCCCTTACTGATTAATGACCCCGAGTGCCGAATAAAGTTCTTAATTTGATGCCATTCACCAGTATAAGGTGACGTCTCTATACGAGTGAAATAAAATAAATTCTCAAACGGGACGTAAAACAACTTACAATCAATCGGAGAAGTTTTAGTATTCATTGAACAAAAACAGTAAATGCTATTTCTACTATAACTGATTATTTTTCTTAGCAAGAAAAGCCAGATTTTATCATGCGTGACAAAAGTGCTCACAAATGTGACGTCGAGTGCCACATGTGAAAAGGACCTGACAGAGATCACCATGATTACCGGTCTCTCAGCCCGCTTACAGACACTAATTGGAGTCCTCTGTACTGAAAGTAAGCCTTATTTCCATATAATAATTGATTGAAATTACATTGATAGCTGCTCATAGTAACGTAATGTGTATTTTACAATTGGAACAACTTGATTGCTCAGCGAAGAACGAATTTTTTGAATAACAGGTTATATTGTCTGTGAATAGGAAACACCTTTTTCCTATGTTTTTCAATTGATTACCAAGTAATAGATTTAATCACTTTAAGGCCTTACTATTTTAACGTTTTGGGAGATTATAAAATACATATTTAATTTTCTTGGCTGTTAATGATCAATATTTCTAGAAAAGCTATGTAATTTGCTGTCATTTCTTTCAAAAATTCCATCTTTAAATTGCTTGCAGGGACACTTCCGCAAATTGTTAATCATTAATCCGTCCCACTCATGTAAGTAACATTTGAAAATTAACAGTGTATGTTGTTCGGAAGCTATTGAAATATTCTTAATGTTTCATTAATTACGTGTAGAGAATGTCTAATTTCTTGCAGCACCACACTACGAGATGGACAGTTGGCGTCAGTGAAAATATGTCACAATGAAAAATAAAATGAACAACCAAATTTAACGACTTTTGTTCTTTTAATATTATTTCGAAAGTCTTTCTTTAAACATGAGTTTTTCGTTAATTAATTCTAATTCAACTGGTTTTATTCAAAGATCATATATGCATAAACTTTAAAAGATAAAATATGGTTATCATTCAATTAATAAAAAAAAGTGATAATCTCAAAACCTTGACATAATCTTTGATCATTGTCAAACCAACTTAGATTAATCCATAAAATTCTAAATCAATTCTTTACTTTTAAATATTTTCAATTTTCCAACAATCAAAATGGATTTGAATTACCAAAACTATACTGGATTCCTAAACTTCGTAAAAATCCTAACAAAGATACATAGCGGGTCCAACCAAGCCTCTTTCTTTATTCCTCACTAAAATACTTACAGCAGTAAATAGCTTTAGGAGTTCTGTACAACTGTATATTCCTGAAGTGGTATAAATCAGATGTAGGTATTAAAAAAACTCCAACAAACTTTTAGAAAATTTGAAATCACAAAATTTTACCAAAATTAACAAGAAATCTGTGAGCCAATGCTCACTAGTAATACCCCATGATAAATTAGAGGCCAGACTTTTTGATACCATAGACAATTGCTCCTTCAATAAAAATAAAACTCATAATTTTCATACCTCTGTGTTGTGTGTGTGTAGGGGGGGGGGGGTGTCCAGAAGCATCCAATGATTTCCTAACAAAACAGGTTTTCATACAATTTTGTGAGTTCTGATTCCGAAGAGTCTGACTGAAACATAATTTGTTTTTTGTTGTTGTTTAACGTCTCTCTCGAGAATTTTTCACTCATATGGAAACGCCACCACTTGCCGGTGGAGGGCTGCAAAGAACTATATACGGTAAGGGCGTATTCCTGCCCCCATAATAGTCAAATTTTGAAAATCTCTTGAAATGAGCAAAAGTGCATATATTGTATAAAATAATCCAAATTAAGACAATATATTATGAAATTGGAAAAAATAGTTGACTTTTCTTGTCTCTGTGACGTCACAAACTATTTGGATTTCCGTTATTTTTAAAATAGAGGACAAAATACACAGAGTTTGTTCAATTTTGACTATAGTATTTATAGAGCGCAAGCTTGCTCAGGTACCATATTCACATATTTCATTGATATTATCATTCTACACATTATATCAAAAGATCTAGTCTGAGCAGACCTGCGCTCGATAATTTCGAATCAAAATACCGACGTAAAATACACTATTTTCTCTCAAAATCATTGCAATTTGGAATTTACGTCATTTTATTGACGTCATATCTAACTAATGATGTCATAATTGATAAAAATATTTAATGCTTTGAAGTCTGCAAATATTCACCTGGTTTAGAACATAATTAAAGAATTCTCCATCAAAGTTTTATTTTGTGGGCAGATACTGGCCACTACAGAATATAGTCCTTTATACCTATACTCGGCACTCAGGGCCATTGAGCAGTGAGGGACCTTTCTCGTGCCAACACCTACTGCGACACGGGACCTCGGTTTATACGGTTTCATCCGAAGGGCTGGTCTCCACGTCCCGCAGAGAATTCGAACCCGCGACATAAGGATCAGCTCCTTACTCCCGACTCTAGAGCAGACGCCCTAACCACTGCGCCACGCGGACGACGACTGACACATTAAGATAACGAAGTGTTCCGCTTTTTTCTGTTTTTAAACATCACAGAAGTATGAAGTTTATTCGTATAACCGTAATACTAAGTGCAATTGAGAGGTGTGCTTGCATTTCTCAAAGGTGTTTCACAAAATCTACACTTAGAGATATTCCTCTTATTTAAATTCTGAAGTCCACGGTACGGTATCATGTAAATGTATTATATAAATGTCCTCTAGAGGCACACTATTTACATGTTTCATCTGGTTTACTGACAATAGAAGTATTTCTCTTCTGTGCCTCGGGTATTTCTTAATTTTCTTGTCTGTGTTTACGGTGTTACAAATGGCGATAATATTAATACTTGATTTATACGCACCTTCTAAAGCTTAAGAGGTAAATCTTAACCCTCTTTAAATTTGTCTGCCAAAACTTAACACTCAAGTGTTAGTGTTCTCAATGGAAGATCAGTGTTGGTGTTCTCAATGGAAGATCAATCACAGAATACTGCGTGTCGGTGCATGGAATCTGTGAGGAGAATAAGCGGAAAAACGTTCAGCAGAAGTGAGACTTTTAGAATGGTAAAAGGATTGATTGATTGTAGGTTGTTTTACGAGAATTTTTCACTCGAATAGAGATGTCACCATATACCGATGAAGGGCTTCAAATTTAGACCTTTACTCGGCACTCAGGGCCACTTAGCAGTGAGGGCTCTTTATCGTGCCAACGCATACCGTGAAACGGGGCCTCGATTTTAAGGTATCATCCGAAAGACCCGCAACTTCCACTTCAAGGTGCCGAGCGCTTGGCGAAGAAACAGTTGCTACATATTTTTTTATCGTCTTAGATCAGTCGTGGTCGTGATTCGAACACACGACTTTCCTATCACAGAGCGAACGCCCTACCGACTGATCTACCGTGACGGTGAATGGTAGGAGAAACCAAAGGCAATGTTGTTGATTTGGCAGCATCATCTTCAGTTAGACAAGAATAATTAGATGGGAACGTCTATCATGGCTTCATACAATCATAGGGTAGCGACTCTGGTGGAGTTACGGAAGCCCTGGGACCCTCTGTTCCCTCGTTACTGTGCAGAGAAAAATGCTTCAAATGGTACTGCATTAGATAAATATTTCCTGCAATACTGTTCTAAGGTTTGACAGCATTAGACGATGCCTGTTTGGATAGTTTCAGGAACAGCAATTCTGGAAGAGTAGACGAACGAATCAACTACCATTTTCCATGCAGGCTTCAACGATTTAAATGCAAGAACGTTAAATGCCTAATGCAACTAATGCTTAATCATTCTTCAGCGAGAGAGCCCATTTTTTACTGTGTGATAGTTCTATTTATGAAATCCATTTGACCAAATCGCTGAAAATCGCATGCCTTTTCCTACCCTTTTCGCAAAGAAATTCAGTTTTGAAATAGGCATGATCTCTGCGAAGAAGATGGAACAACACATATGAACATACAGTTTTGATACATGGGGGAAAAATCTTTCAGATGGATTAAGAAATCAAAAGTGAAAAAGAAACTAAAGACGGCAATCGATCGAAATCTGTAAGGGCATAGAAAAATATTAATACTGATATCAGAATTTCAGTGAAAAATATTGTAAAAAGACTAATCCTATAAATCCTGAACAGTTTATACAAATGTGACGGAGAAAAAGAATATGAAGAAAATTGCTGTAAGATTTGTGCAACTTTACTACATTACTTTAAGAATTATAAATAATCCCTGTCAGCTTCATTAACTTTCTAATGGAAAAGAATTGGAAGTTGATACTTAGCACATAGATTACATATGACCAAAGAATGTGTTCATAACATTTAACCGAGGTCATTTGGCAAGTTCAAAGACTGTAAGAAGAAGAATTATAACTCCAGTCCTGGCCATATCTTGTAATGAACCATTTGAAGCTCATTCTCGAACAGGTTTTTATGAGCTGAGGATATGTTCGAACCAGAGGTCGGTTTGGCAAGTTCAAAGTCATTTGCAGAAAAAAGGTTTAATCCGAGTTTGTATAAGAACAAATTGCCACTCTCCGAACATTTGTATTTATCAAAAACATGATTGATACCGAAACTGGAAAGAAGACGCCTGCAACTCGCAAGACGCTACATCTTTCCTTGAGCATCCCTAGCGCTCGGCACTTTGAAGTGAAAGTTGCGGGTCCTTCGGATGAGACTTTAAGAACCCAGGCTCCTTGTTACAGTAGACGTTGGCACGATAAAGAAGCCTCACTGCTCAATAGCCCTGAGTGCCGAATAAAGGTCTAATTCTGAAGCCCTTCACCGGTATATGATGACGTCTTTATATGAGTGAAAAATTCTCGAACGGTACTTCAACATACAATCAATCAAAGAAAAATGCATTAATTAATGATGTTTGCTTTTAAAAAAATGTTAATTTAAAAATAGTTTTCTAAGTCATTTTGTCAGAGCCAATACCAAATTTTCAGATCAGGAAATCACGATTTTTCTCTGGCTTTGTTTTTGTTTACAGGAATGAGGCATACTCTTAATGACATTCTGCACAATACCAGTCAAATTTTTCTATGTCTGCCCACTGATCATCTGTTAGATCATCACTTATACCATCTATCACACGAAATCACAAGTGCTTAATCCAATTTTTATCTTCAACATACACTTTGTTATATGTTATGATTCTGTAGTTTCTTTGCATTCAGAATTTTATTTTTCTCGAAGCTGCTGTAGATTCTTGGCAATCCCCCCTCTTTACTGTCTGACTGGTACTTTGTGTCTCTTAATATAAGGCCATATCCTTGCTTGGCTTCTCGGAAATTCCTGAGCATATTTTCTGTTAGCCAGTGTCTTTCTGATTAGCTTCACACGAGACAACTTTCTTCCAATGTCTTTCAAATTTTTCTCTTCCAAATTTCTGGGGAATTTCTTTTCTGTACTCATTATTTCCAATGCTTAGAAATCTTGTGATAATGGCCTTATACAATTGAACTTTGCTTGTCTTAAGCGAGTCCCCTTCATCTGTAAATAATCTGCAATTATCAAAATCACTGAAAAGATTGTCCCACCGTTCTTTTAGTTCTGTGTCCTGTTGAAGATTCTTTTTCTTATAATGTCAGACATGATGCACCATGTAATATGACATTTAATATGATACTTCACTTTCTTTTTACAAATGCATTGTGTTTCCTCTCAGTTGCTAGTATTTTTGGATATTTGGAGGACATCAAGCGATGGTCCAACATTTTCACTTTAAAGTATAAATTTGATGACTTGACTTTGTTTTTGTACAAGGACTTTCTCTAGACAAATTCATAAAATGAAACTTGGACTTGGAAACACATGCACCACCGATGTTCCTTATTTTACCATGGCTGGTATCGGATATTGTCATTGTTTTTTCCAGCTTGAGAAATTGCTAAAATGAGATGTTTGTTCTTGCATAACTGAAGACGATATCCGATCAAATATTGTTCTGCTTGATTTAAATTCCTCTGTTGTCGCTTTTCTCACAATATAAGCCTGAACAAGTTTTTTTTTCTTATGCTTTGCAGAGGTTGAGAATTTGTACATTTCCGAATAATAACTTTTGCAGGTTTTACTGCCTATCTTTAGATTGTCACCTCCAGATGTGTGCACCTTTTTAATAATATCCATCATTTCAGTTTTCGTGATCGGGAGGTCTTGAGTTCGAATCTCGGCCGCGACTGTCCAAAGTCGATAAAAAATGGGTAGCAACTGTTCCTTCGCCATGCGCTCGGCACTTTGAAGTGAAAGTTACGGGTCGTTCGGATGAGACCTTAAAAACCGAGGCTCCGTGTTCGACAGGCGATGACACGATAAAGATCCCTCACTGCTCAATGGCCCTGAGTGCCGAGTAAAGGACAAAATTTGAAGCCCTTCACCAGTATATGGTGACGTCTCTATATGAGTGAAAAATTCTCGAATGGGACGTAAAACAATACCGGTATACAATCAATCAATTATTTCAGTTTTTAAATTATTTTCAAAAGTTGGAAGAGGGACTTCATAGGATTCAACATACAGAGTTTGTCAATTTCTTCCTGAGTAAAATGTTATATTTCATTTTCATCATTCACATCATAGGTAATTAATTCAAGGCAATGCTGATCCTGATTACAATGTTCAAGCTGCAGCATTTTAAATCCTCTTTAAAATCAACACACGCACGGTGTCACAAAATTCATAAAGGAGGCAATCGTGTTTAAGCACTGAATTTGGATTGAACTTATAAGTCAAATACCCCTAACTGATCTGGACTGAATATGTTGTCCCCATCCACTTCTATCTTATCTAGAATGAGGCCTTGAGCTTTGTGGATTGTTATGCTGATTGCAAGGCTTAAAGTAAAGGTACACAGTTCCTTCATTAGTAGAAACTCCTGTGCTTTTCCCTTCAAGTTCATTTACTAGTTGGTCACTTAAATTCTTCTGAAGTAATACTGGACAGTCTATTTTCAAGTACAAATACCTCTGGGACAGACAAAGTATTCGGATATTTTTTTTTTCACCACTGTCTTCTGCCTCATAGTTTGTAGTCTCACCTTGCACATCAATCAATTTAGAGGCATTATAAACATCATAATCAAATTTATTATCACAGAGGCGAACAGGCGGTGGTCTGGTGCGTAATGATCTTCTCATTCTCCTTAGAAGTGATAAGGAATCATTGCTTATAGTTAGAGCGTTTGCCCAGAATCGCGGAGCAAGGTGTTGATCCCTACCTCGCAGGTTCGAATCCATCTATGGGACATGGAGACCAGCCCTTCGGATGAGACGGTATAAACCGCCGAGGTCCGTGTCGCAGTAGGTACTGCCACGAAAAAGACTCCTCACTGTTCAATGGCCCTGAGTATCGAGAATACGTTAAAATGTGCAGCTCTCCATCGGCATGTGATGGCGTCTCCATATGAGTGAAAAATTCTCGAGAGAGACGTTAAACAACAAACTTATAGTTCTTTTAGAAACTTCAATTATGCAGGTAATAAAGTCCACATTTTTTTCTTTTCACCTCATGCGTTTAAAAGTCTTTCTGAATTTTTCAGACTTGAAGCAATAATCACCCTTGTCACCTTTTAGATCAGGCACAGGTGGTAATTGAAAGAAAAAACCTTTCACTATCAACTGCAGTGCATCAAAATATGTGTTCTTTTCCTTATTTTTTTCTACAAATATATTCTAATGTGTCAAAAAGTTTGAGACGGACATATTTAATCCATATTTAATATGTTAGTGTTCAATTTTTTCCCTGTTCACAGTATATTTCGTCAAAAAGATTTTTTACACACAGGGTTTCTTACGAAAATCTGCCGTCTCCAGTGCCACTCTATCTGTGAGAAGATAATCCGCCTATGTTAAAGGCTGCAATTCCAGTAGTTGCCGTCAAGGTCACTTGTTTTCCCCATTTTTCTAAAGTTTCCTCGAGTTTCTTAACTGAAAAAAAAATTCTCTTGTCACTCTGATCAAGTATGTATAGCCTAATTATAACCTTCCTATGCTTTTACCAAACCCGAAGTCTGTGTTTCAGAAAGCATGCACTTTTACCGTTGTTTATTTATGTTTTTTTTTTCTTTACTAGAGAGCTCCAGTCGCCCGCGTGGTGCAGTGGTTAGAGCGTCTGCTCTAGAGTCGCGGAGAAAGGAGCTGATCCGCGGGATGTTTGTTTATTGTTTAACGTCCTTCTCGAGAAGAGACCGTTCACGGTAGCTCAGTCGGTAGAGCGCTCGCTCCGTGATCGGGAGGTCGTGAGTTCGAATCTCGGCCGCGACAGACCTAAGTCGATAAAAAATAGGTAGCAACTGTTCCTTCGCCATGCGCTCGGCACTTTGAAGTGAAAGTTGCGGGTCCTTCGGATGAGACCTTAAAAACCGAGGCCCCGTGTCACGGCAGGCGTTGGCACGATAAAGATCCCTCACTGCTCAATGGCCCTGAGTGCCGAGTAAAGGTCAAAATTTGAAGCCCTTCACCGGTATATGGTGACGTCTCTATATGAGTGAAAAATTCTCGAATGGGACGTAAAACAATATACAATCAATCAATCAATCCTTCTCGAGAATTTTTCACTCATATGGAGACGTCACCACTTGCCGGTGACAGCTACAAATTTTGACCTATACTCGGCACCCTTGGCCATTGAGCAGTGAGTGATTTTTTTTCGTGCCAGCACCTTCTGCGACACGGGACCTCGGTTTATACGGTCTCATCCGAAGGACCGGTCTCCACGTCCCACAGTGGGATTCGAACCCGCGGCGTAAGGATCGACTCCTTACTCCGCTACTGTAGAGCAAACGTTCTTACCACTGCGCCACGCGGGCGACCTGCAGGATGTGGAGACCGGTCCTTCGGATGAGACCGTATAAACCGAGGTCCCGCGTCACACTAAGTGTTGGCACGAACTTCTCAATGGCCCAGAGTGCCGAGTATATGTATTAATTTGCAGAAGTGGTGGCGTCTCCATGTGAGTGAAACATTATCGAAAGGGACGTTAAACAACAAACTGGAGAGCTTTAGTGTATTACTAGCCAATGAGATCGCGTTGCCAAACCGGAAGTGCCGAGCAGTTTAAAGCTAGTCTAGAGACAATTTTTCAAAACATTACTTCTCCTACAGTTTTGGTCTGATTTCAATATAAATTGGCACACAAGTAGACTACACCAAAATACAGAAATCTCTATCGGTTTTTGATTTCATTGAACGACGTTGCCATGGTTAGAAATTTCTGTGAAATACTTTCAAAACACTACTCCCTACAGTTTTGATCCGATTTCAATATGACTTGGCACACAAGTACACTGCACTAAGATACAAAATTCTTTTTATCGATTTTTATTTCGATTAACCGTATTACCATAGTTACTGTGAAACTTTCAAAACTCTGTACCTCCTACAAGGATTATAACATTTGTGCGGATGTGGATATCATCTTGATTTTGTTTAGCATCAATGTGATAAAGGGGAACAATAAGCTGATTATGATCTAGTCTGTTTACACTGAGGTTCTATACCTCGGGAAATAGACATGATAGGTTTCTTCAAAACATTATAAGCTACAAAAGTGTGTAAATTGCTTGAATAGTAACCGTCTTGGGTTGTTTTTATTGTTTCCTTTTGTAATGACTCAATCACATTGCCGATAATTACACATTCTTCTGACAGGGAACTTTCTTATACATTATTCAGTAAACTTTTGTTACTAGACATTGTTCAAAAATTTATTCAGGATACTGGTCGTTTCAATTAACACTTACATGAACTTGTATTTACTACCTTTTGAAACTATTTGAATATGGTTATTGACGTCATTATAATCATCATTATATCAATTGATATTCTTTAGCAATAATAACTATTGTCTTTGTTCTTCTACGTTCATGTAAAATATTGTAAAATTGTAAAACTGTTGTATGGCTATTGAGATTTTATGTATGGGAGAGGACTATCTAAGTTTTAAGAACTTGTGTCCAATCCCTTTGACATATTGTCAATAAAATATGTTCAAAACAAACAAACTAGACATGGTCACAAAAGTGCTTTCATTAGTGTAACGTTTCGGGTCTGAAACAAGTTCAAGCACAATTCGTACTTCATATTCTTAAGAATTTCTTCATGTCTAAACTTGAAAAGAAAAGAGTGCTTGATAAATAATTCCCATTTTAATCGGGACATTAAGCTCATCAGGAGATCATTTTGATTAAGCTCAGAGAGAGAGGATACAACATCGAATTTGGGATATGGGAATGGTTGTTGGAAACACAAGACCCCCCCCCCCTGCATATTCAACCCCGGGACTTGTTGGACGTTTCATCAATAAGTATACTTTACACACCTATATAACATTTATACTATAAGAAAAGTAGTGTAAAACCCTCAAGAAAATACCCCACTCTACATTATAAAAGAGAAAAGAAAGGTATGCCACTACTTTTTGTGTACATTGTACTCCCGCTGGTCTTACTGGATTAAAAACATGTATATATTTCATTTCAACCCAAATGACGGGTCATATTGTCTCTACATATATGCTTGTCTTCGATTATGCAGTCAAATGTGATTTGGATCGCAAAAGAATCCCAAATTAATTCTTAAACATGATTACAGTCAGTGTTTTGTAAAGTCCTTAGGCAAAAGCCATGGAAGTACACCAAAATGTATTATTACGATAACATCCGAGAGCTTTTTGACCTGACGTAATGATCTCTCTCTCTCTCTCTCTCTCTCTCTCGTGTTACGTTAATATTCTTTAAGCACTTATGGATTGAATTTGGTACGGTGTATCCCAGAGTCTTTATCGTCTTAGGCTTATAATTAGTGACTACAGCTATATAGTATTTTACCCTCTGAGCAACACTATTCTCGTTAATTTTCCATCCACGATTCTGTTAACTAAACGTCGCTGTTCGTTACTCTTCGTGAAAAATACTGATTTATAATAAAATTAAAAAAAAAAAGCTTTCACAGTGAAGATTCATATAAATGTACAATATGTCATATACAATTTTAATGTGATTTGAAATGCAACATATATTTACTATAAAAAAAATGTATTTAATATAAAGTATCAGGCAGTAGAAATGAAAGTATGTATTGAATGTTAACTAATATATTGTAGAGTCTGTATAATTATGTGAAAGCACAAATAAAATCTATGAATTAAAAAAAAAAAACGATAGTGACTCCTTTGGTTCGTTTGAAGATATTTATATTTATCTTTGTGCTGAAAGATTTCCTTCACAAGGCAATCCATATTCAAAGTTATCTTAGCATTCCCATTTACTTGGCAATCCAGAGCTTATGTCACAAACTATCTGTTCTCCACTGCCATTGCCATTTGGGCTCTCTTCATCATCATTCATTCCAAGTTCCTTACGGGGGTCTGAGGCCAAAAATGCATTCTCAGTGAATGGACTGAAGGCTCAGATAGAAATATCCCGACCTTCGAAAAGCACCTCTGAGATTGGTAGGTGACATCAGCTGAGATTGGTAGGTGACAGCAGCTACTATATACAGGGTTATTTTTGCCCTTTCACACTTGCAAACACGTTTGCCCCATTTTAAATTCGCCCAGTCACAATTCTGTTTAAGAAACTAGACTGTGTTTTTGAATTCACCCCGTTTTAAATTAGTCCACCTGTGAGTAGAGCAAAAGGGGCAAAAATAAAACGGGGGCGAAAATTCCCCGTATACAGTATGTGCAAGCTTTACAAGCCAGCTTACAAACATTTTACCGATTGACATTTTCAGCTTATTAGTGGGGTATTTTTTGTATGGAACGATTATTTTGGGTTCCCCCGATTTTTTGTATGGTATGCAAGATAAATAAGAGTAATTAAGATAATTTGTGGGATAAAGTTCAACAAGCTCTGGGGTTGAATATTTGGGTGGGGTTGGTCCTGTCCACAAGAACTTGTGGTAGGAAGGGGATATTTCTGTAAACTTTTCCCTTTAAGTCTTACAAGAAAATCTCGTGCTTCCCATATCATTCTTCCTGCATTCCTTGCCTCTTCATTCACTTTTTCGGAAAATCACTTTTTTTCGTCCGTCTGGGTATACATTATGGAGTAATCAAACTTCGTATTCATATGGTAGTGTCTTGGACCACGGATGAAACGGGTAAAAATTGGCTGAGAGTAAATCCAGTGATGTATACAAAATTGTTTTACTTTTAAAAAACAATTTATTTTATCCTATTTCGGATATGTATGTTGAGTTGGCAGTGATAGCAAGTATTCCTATGTCTCCACTATGTGACGAAGATTTCCTGCAAATAATTAGAAACATATTGCTTGTGCTATACATCCAACCCCTAATTGATTGTTCAGAATTCGGCATCAACTGCTTGTTGATCCTGAAGATTTATGGTTAGGAAGGGAAGTGTTTCATCTCTTGTCGCGGCATTCTGAAACACCCAGATCTTTATGAGATAAGAAAAAGATGTTACCCAAAGATGTACATCAACCAAGATACAGGCTGGTGCTTTTCATACTTTAACTTTGCTCATACCCGTGCTATTCAGTTTTATCCCTCCTTTTTACCGGCTACCATAGGCCTGAAAAAGATTTTCTTTGTCCAGTTTTAAACAACATTACTAGTATATTTCCAACATTCAGTGACCCACGGAATTAGAATAGAGGGATATGCGGAGTATTTAGGAAGATCTATCTGATGCATTTGCTGTGATTGAACAGAACGTCACACCACAGACCTCAAAGTGAGCCAAGTGCCATAACTACAGTGGATACAGCCATTTCAATTGTATCCATACAATTGTCAAAATTGACAAAATTGACAATTCGAAAGCAATTGGCGTTGTTCGTTGTGGGTTTCTTGTGCTTCAAAATGATGTCTAAATACACACTTTTCTGCCAGCAGTAGTCTCGAAAGAAGCGCTGCCTTTCCTAATGATTTTCATTCTTGGGGACAAGATTTTCTCTCAT